AACAAAAACAGAAGTCATGAGGCCGAATTGAGAGAAGTATTCATGTAGATCGCAGTCCCTTGTTGCTTCGGGCAGACCGTCAACGAAGATGCCTTTTGGATTTACGTCTTCCTCACGTAACATTTTTTTTGCCTATGTTAAAAGCAAACAAACCAAGATGCAGCTTACTTGAGCGAAATAGGCACATATTTTGGCTAAATCTTGAGTAAGTTTATATTGAAGAAATATCCTATGCTATAAGGTACGGCAGAACCAACCATTTTATCAATATACATTGTGCTATGGAAGAATTCCATAAAAATTGGAAAAATTTCCCAATTCCAGAACCAGAAAGTTGCGTCCGAAATTATTCAGATGCCAATGAAGCCAACTTTAAGGAATCGTATTTATTTGCAGAAATAAGGTAGATTTAAATTTTAAAAATGATGTTTTGCTGGCCTGTGAAGTTTTGTCGCAAAAAACGCAGTGACAAAAGAGTTCATCGCATTTATTTTAAACTGCACCGTTCACCTTGCCTTTGTAGCAAAGTTTTACCGCAAAAGTAATGTAAAGAAGGCCTTATTAAATGTAAGTCACAAATCGGTCTTCGTCACCAAGATGCAGGCCATACTATCAGATCCGACGAAATTTAAGAAGGTAGACAAAGGAAAAGATTGTACGGATGAAGTAGAGGTACACCTGATCGTCTGCTTAAGAAGACTACACACGGCAGGATTTATAAGTGACCGCGACCTCGAACACTTGCGGCCAGGTGGCACGCACATTCCCCGTTTATAGGGTCTATCTAAGATCCACAATGATGGCCTGCCAGTTCGCCCGATTTTGTACATGCGAAGCTCGCCTTGTCATGCAACAGCGAAGTGGTTGGCAGAGAAACTCAAGCCCACACAGCAACAGCTGGCACTACATAGCTATCAAGATACGTTCCAATTTATTGATTGCATCAAAGATATGAACTTAAACGACATGAGGATGATCTCCCTAGACGTCTCATCGCTGTTAACAAACGTCCCAGTAACAGAGAAAGTCGATTAAATCTGCAAGTTCATAGTGGCAAATTAAATAGAAGT